TGTTTTAATTAAACCATTTTTAATATAAAAAATTTAAATAATTATTTTTATTCAACACATTTATTTTTCTTAATTCTTACTAATTGAAAATTAAAAATGTTAACTAGATTATCGATCGTTATAACAAATTGTTTAATAAAAACTAATTTAAATGGCAAAATAATATTACAAGTGTAGGTGTTTAACATAGACCACACAAAATGCTTATAAATTATGTATAGATTTGATGAAAATATGAGTCTCAAGTATAACTTAATACTTGTTAAAACATAAAAAGTTTTTATTAAAAACATAAAATTGCCGAAATGTAAAATGTTAAAGAAATTTAGCTTTAAATTAATAAGAATTTAATTATTATTACTATTAATTTATTAAAAATATTAAATTTATTAAAAATAATGCTAATTTTCAGAAAATCTAATGTTTTAGATGTAATTTTTACAGCTTTTACAGCTGTATTGCTGCATAACTATTCTCTAAATTGAGTTAGATTGTTATTAAGCATAATCATCTTTACAATTCACAATTGATTTATTTATAACTTTAATAAGTTACTTGAATAACTACACAGTAAATTAGCCCAAAAATAAATGTAACTTTTATTTTAAATATTTAATTCATATAAATAACAAATATTTATTTTAAGTAAAATCCTAATTATTATTCAAAGCAATGACTTATATAAACTATTAGACGTTAAAATAAATTAATTAAAATTTCCAACATAAATTAAAATAAAACGACTCAAAATAATTAATTACAATGTTTTCCAAAACAATCACAAGAAAACATAATACAGTATGTGTACAATATGTTTATGGTATCCGCATTAATTGTACTATAGATTCCACTAAAGTATAATGAACTACCGTCCAGAATAATTAAATAAATTTTATATTAAATTAAAAATCAAAATGAAATACAAAACTAAAAACTTTTAAATCAAAATCTACAACGAAATGGTCTGTTAAAGTGAACATAACGATCGTTATGGACACCTACCCCCTATTCCGGTCAGGAAATTGTCCGATAAATTAAATATAAACCGGGAATACATTATAATTATAATTAATTAATTAATGAAAAATTTAAAAAATGACTCTTTTGTTTGGAACAAATAAGTTATTTAAAATAACTCTCATTATTATAAGCTCTCTAAACATTAACACTATATCAATGAAATCACAATTTAAGAAATGAATTACAAAATCATTGGTTTTGGCAAATAATTTGTTTGATTGACTATTTGTTTGGTATAACCAATGGATCGGACTTTGAGATATCGTAAGAGAAAAGGACGGGTCGATCGGTCTCTATGCGTACGGAACGGCACTCGGGGTCAAACTCGTTGGACGTACTGATCAGTGAGCCGAAAGACATGGTATCGTTGGTTAGATTCCACCGGAAACCCGTTGTGGTCACCAGACAGGGGGCGCCCACTGGAACCAGTGAACACCATTTGGCCTCATGGTTTGACTCTATCACATGGGTTCCCTTTAGGAATATAATCATTACAGTAACAGTAATTACAGTATAAAACTAGTACACTATACCGAATGTATAGTGTATATATGGACGCATTGCATACCTTATGCAAGAGGAAAGTGACGGAATTGTGAACTTGAAAGAGGATTATGGGGACGTAGTGTTGGCCCCCTTCGCCCGCTCCGTAACCGTTCTCCAACTCATTGATGTACAACGTATTGATGTTAGTGAGCACCTGATCTATGCGTCCCAACGACGACCAGATAGCTATAATAGCTCCGCACACCTCCCGATCACGTGGCGATGGGGGTGGGGGTGACTGTTGACCATTAGGGCGCGGTTGTGGTGATGGCGACCCGTTATGGCCGTTATTGGCCACCACTGCCGACACATTATTGTTCTCATAGACGGAGCGTTTGTTTAAGTGAAGGATTATTTTGACGGCTTTCTGAAAGTCGGTGTAGTTCTGGTCAGGCGTTGCCATTATTTTGACCCCTTTTTGTCGAAAGTGGTTGAGCCGATCCGTTGTCACCGAATCAAAGTCACCGCAAAGAATGTCCG